ATTTTCTGAGATTGTGGATTAGGGGTCACAATTATGACAAATCACGACTTGAACTATCTTGCTTTGCATGTAATAAGTCTTATCTCATATATTAGTTTCACCTTTTAAGTTGCATTACTGAAATAAATGAACTTTTGCATGATATTCTAATTTTTCGAGTTTCACCTGTATTAGCTCTATGTTGCTCAGAATGTTTTACGGTGGGAAGCGCCCATATGCCCAGTAAAATAAATAAAAGAATGAAGGTATGATCAATCACCTATAGATATTTAACACAGATTATACTTGGCTGTAATTGTAATCATTGTTCCTTACTACTTTTGTTTATCAAACATGTATCATATCAGAAGAGAAGCAATTACCTGCATTTTGGGGCTAGAAAAATATGGAAATACAATTAAATGCTTACACGTATGCTTCATTTTAAAAAGCCAATGTTTAAAAAATATGCAGCCTAGCTTTACAGCATAGAAAAAAAAACCTTGTTGATTTTCAGACAATCTGTGATGTTTGCAATTTAGTTCAGATATATCTGAACACATTATCCCAATAATTATACAGGTGTAATATCATTTATTGAATTTATCTATTTCACTGTATATGAGTATGAGTAGTATGAGTAGTTTATTTATATGTAACCCAGATGGTTTACAAAGTTTAATAGAGTGCAGTATAGTAATATTACACATACTACTGTCTAACAGTATTTATATTGGGACATAATACCATCAAGATAAAGAAAAACCTGGGTATATTGACTATTCAAGTCAATATTAGAAACGTAGAGTTGAATATGAACTATATGTTTTTTTTTCCTTTAGCAGCAATACAATTTTCTTCAAAATATTTTCTGAATATATTGATTACCAAATTCAGTATTTATATATATGTTTAATGACTATGAGAAGACTTGATCTATAATTAATATCCTCTTCAATTCATCATTTGAATTCTGTTTAACTAATCAGATTTGATTTCACTATAAGTACATAAATAAAGCACTTTTTTTTCTGGAGGAAAAATATTGGTAAAATAGTAATAGCAGAATGTTTGAGGCATTCATTTTTGTATGTATCGGAGATCAATGCTATTCATTTGTTGTCTGTTTATACTTTATACTATATATTTAACTATATAAAAATAAATAAAAAATCTTCCTTTGTTAAAGTGCTGATAATCAATTATGAATACATTAATCATGCAATGGAGCATACATGAATCTTACTCTAATAAATATTTCTATCATATACTGTGCTGAAATTAATTTTCTCCATGCAAGCAATAAAATTGGATTTTCAGAACAACTGAATCGTAAACTAATACTGTTTTCTGAATTTGTGTAAGATAAATTTATGCAAAAACTAGGAATTTACAATTTAGGTTAATTAATATGCTTTGCAAATCCAGCTTTTATATCTCGGAACAAAACAGAGGATTTTTTTCCCATTATAAAGATGTTAAGCCATGATTTGTACAATGATAGTTTATTAAATAGATCACCCTTGATTAGATTAATAGAACATGCCAAACAATATCCTTTCACCTATTCTAATGCTTAGATTTTGCCAAGAACAGCCAAAAACCATGATAGCATAGATACAGTAAAATCCCTCCAATGTTTTCTAAGACCATGATTTTAGTACTAATTCAAAGGATGTAATTACAAGTTTTTGCTTCTTTAATTTATTATTACAAAATTACACCTGTGAATAATACTTCTGTTGGAAGAAATATCCACCTGGTTCAGTTCCAAGCTGGGAGAAAGACACTGGAAACACGGAGGCTGATTAAAAAGATGGTTTATTGATGAAGCAGAACCACAGTTTATGTTTCTGGGCAGCTGACAAAATGGAGTTGAGAGTGGGGGGTGGGGTTTATACCGGCTTTTGGGCTTTGCACTTGAGCTTCCTGTTCCTGTGCAAGAACATATATTCTATTGGCTGTTGTCAGATTCCTATGGGGTCATGTAGGGCTCATAGCTCTATAGGCAAAAGAGGAAATGCATATCCTAGGTATTTGTCTGAGTTCCCAAGTTTGGTTGAAGTTTCACCTGCTCTGGAGATGGCAC